GATGTCCCCCGTGTGCTCCACAAAAGGGTGGCCGCAGGAACAGCAACTTGCACGTGACGTAGGCTATAGTGATAGCAGACTTGCGAAGCGTCTACCACACTCCCTCCTGCCTCACTCACCTATGTCTGCGGCCAAGACGGAGAAAAGAAGATCGGAGGCGAGGTCGGACGCAGTGGCCAACAATGTCAAACAGTCAGTCAGCGCGTGTCACACATGCTTGATCCGTGCACGATGGACTGGACCAGGTTTTCGCACAACAGGATGGGGGAGGCGGCTCGGGGATCCCAAATGGGTGAGGATGGCATAGAGGCCACATTAAGAGGGAGCCAGTCATATAGGAAGTGAAGGACAGGCAAACGCTCAGACAACAACTGAGAACTTGTATATATTTATTATCAGTTTTATGGAAGGTCTGCGGATGTTCGTGAAATTTGTCTAAACACTATAACAAAGGTAAGGCCACCGTAAACATTTCAAAAGGCTATTTTGGATCTGTCACAAACTGCTGAGTATTTCATATTTTATGGGTGAATTAAAGTTGTGGAACTAGTGTATTTCGACGGAGAAAGCTAAGAGGAGTAGTAGGAGCATTTAGGAATTTCTGGACTAATCAAATTACCCTTTCCGAATGCGGCGTGAATAAAAGAGTTTGTGTAAACGACTGTGCTAGAAAACAGTCGGATTGGGTATGGGAATATGTATATCCCGTATTGCAGGTGGCCTTATGCTAAGTTATAGAAGAGTACCCCAACCTTAACAATAACTCCAATCCCCCTCCCCCCTGAAATGTTGCGTAGGGTTGTCTGTAATACGGGTGGGGGCGGTACTCGTGTCCGTACTCTATCAAAAGCTGTACATGCACCGTTTTCTTCAGGGTACCTAGTCTTTACAGAACCGTCATAGAGAGACACTAGCAACTCTGACAGACTGCGATTAAAAGTGAAGGGGAAGAGCGAAACTTTTTGTTCGATGTTTGAACCTTTGATTCTCACGGCTAAAAACGTCAATATTTCTTGAACTGTTTTTCGACTTACTCGTATCTCTCGGCCATCTTATCCGAATAGGAGTTAAAATCAGAGTAAAATAAAAAAACAAAACCATCATGAACTGTTTACCGATTACTTTTTATGGGCTGGAAGTGGTAATTGAGTTGCTATCTCACCGCTCCGCGTTACAACGCTTCTTCAGGGGTGGAACGCCATCCTAAAGTCGTATGCTGGCAGAGCCATCGATGCTGGAAAAAGTACGCCGGTCTGAAGCCTAGAAGGCCATTTAGAACGTTCGCACATCGGGCGTAGCCCTCATGCTTCAGAGGCACAACAGAAATAGACTGGGCGTGAAGTTAGAGCAGTCGCATAATGATGTTAAAGATGGTCGAAAAAAGTGCTGCTGATTCAGGCTCCCCATTTGGTCTGAATAATTATCCCATCACGTCCTTCCATTTCCTCCTCCCCTCGTTCCCTATTTTCTCTGTTTTCTTCCTGTGCCACGCTCTTCTTCGCAAGAGCCTGGATGCTTCTAGCCTGACGTTTGTCGGTTGTCGTAGACGGTGGTGGAGGCTTAGGCGTAGACTAATTTTGTTAGATGTACTAGACTACAAATAGGAACCGTCCTCCCTCCCGGGTAATACTGGTGGTCTTGGACTAAATTTAACAAATATTAAATATTTCCGTGTCCTTACCCTAACACTAGTCCTAACCCAAATCTTAACCGTAAACTTAGCCTTAACCCTAGCAAAATCCTAACCTTAAGCCTAGCTTTACACATAACCCTAGTCTTAAAACTAACCTCAGTTAATCTTGAAATTGGC